ATAGCAGAGAGAGGAGAGGGAGAGAAAGGGGAGAGGGGGAGAAAGAGAGAGAGAGAGAGAGAGAGAGAGAGAGAGAGAGAGAGAAGCAGACAGACAGGGAGAGGAGAGAAAGAGAGTGACAGAAGGAGAGACAGACAGACAGAGACAAAGAGACCCAAGAAGAATCCCAGGAGCAAGAGGTCATTCATGTCATCAGTGGTTCCAGGGTAAACAGCTGCGATGATGACAGTGACACCCTTGGTGCTCTGGGGGACTCTGCTCCTACAGATATTGTCTGGTTGAATGCAGAAGCCTGGCATTTGTTGTGTTGAGTAATGCTGTCAGAGCCTGCTTTACAATGACTTATTTTTATGTCCCCTCATTCTATACACCCGCATATGCAAACATGATTGTATAATAAATAAGATCGTAAGTTCAAAGGTTTTAAGATTGGTGAGGCAGCATGGTACAGTTGAAATAGTAATATATTTGGAATTAGAGGATCCAGTTTAAATTCCTTCCCTGTCACTATCTAAGTGAAGATGGGCAAATCATTTACCTTTCTGGGCATTAGTTTCCTCATCTGTAAACATTAGGGGGTGGGTCTAGAAGTTCCTTCCATCACTAAAGCTATGATCCTATGACCTTAGAGATTATATATTGCAAACCTCTCATTTCATGAACTGGCTTATGTCCCTTACAACAAAAATATATGCTACATATGTGATGGTGAAAAACCTAGTCTTCAATACTTCAAAAGATCCATTATTTCATCAGTACTACCTGTATGGATGCAGATAGCCACCCCTTTATGCTTTTGTAAATGGTTTAACGAGTTGTTACAATCCTCAGAAAGTGGGGTAGCTAGGTGGCAAAACGGAGAGAGTGCTGGGCCTGAAGTCAGGAAGACTCATCTTTCTGAGTTCAAATCTGCCTCAGACACTTCCTAGCTGTGTGACTCTGGACTTAACCCTGTTTGCCTCAGTTTCCTCATAAGCAAAATGATCCGGATAAGGAAATGTCAAACCACTCTAGTATCTTTGCCAAGAAAACTTCAGATGGAGTCACAGAGAGTTGAATATGCCTGAAAATGACTGAACAAAAAACCGGAATGTGAGCAGCCTCCTAGGGATGGACTCCTCTGAACTCAGGTAGGCTGCTCCTAGGATGATAGACATAGATGCTGTAGTGGGTCCATCCTAGAAACTTTTTCCAGCTTGGCAGGCCCTGCCAGCCCTTGTGCTTCACTAGGACATGTCTTATAAAGCTAAAATTTATTAGGGTTTTAGTGGAAGAATAACATTACTGAACTTTCTAATAAAAGATCTAGTGGCCTATAAACTAAGAATGCAAGCTGAGGACCAACAGCACCAGGAATTATCTAATGTATTGGGCCCAACTCCCATAGGAGTGCTCATCTGGCCCTAGGATGAGCTTTGTTCCTATGGGATTGCAAGGAACTACTAAAAACACCACCAAATTTCATATCTGAGGGTAAAGCAAGCATGTATGAATATAGGGTCAACTACAGAAAAACAATGAAGTGGGAAGTGAGTTATTTTTGGTCTTTCACTTTTCCTGTATACATTCTAGTGCCCCCAATACTGGCTTTGACCTTCCCACGCGCTAGTGTTGTGGGCCTTCTCTGATCCTTACTCTTCTTATCTCTGCCCTCTGCTCCATAACTTCAGATCCATCCTCAATGCCAGAATAGAGTGCCGAGCTACATTTGGATAGAAACGATGTGTACCAGAGAAGTGTAACAGGGGGCATTAGAGCTTTATATTGCTAGGCTGAATCATAGGATCACAGATGCAGAGCTGGAAGGGCCCTCAGAGGCCATTTATTCCAAATATCTTATTTTACAGATGAAGAAACTGAGGTCACGGGACATTATGGGACTTGCCCAAGATCACACAAGTAGTATATGTCAGAGGCTATCTTTTTATAGCATTTTAAGGTTTGTAAAGAGTTTTTCATGATAACTCATCCAATCCTTCCAACAACCACATGAGGTAGGTATTATTGATTTTTGCCATTTTACATAAAGAAACTGAGGCACAGCGAGGTTAAATGACTTGCTCAAGGTCACATAACTAGCAAGTGTACAGGAAAATTGGAATTCAGGTCTTTTTGACTCCAAGTCCTGTACTCTATCCACCTTACCCAATTCACTCTGGCTCCCATTGGCCAACAATAGGTCCTTGCCCAAGTACCATTTAATGGTTATTTTTTGGGTCCCAATGGCTCAGAGTGAATATAAATAGTAATTATTTCTCTTTTGGTCAGAAACAATCCTTGAGGGTTTCCCCCTCCCAGTTTGATTTTTTTTTATTAAAGGGCCCATCCCTTGGCTTACTTCTTAAATAGCCCTAATCACTGAATAGGTGTTGCCTTAGTCAAAGTAAGAACTGAGAAAGACCTTAGTTTAAAAAGGCCAACGTCTCCCACTGCATTCTGAGCCATCTGCAGTTGTCTTGATCTATATCTTAACACTGGACCTAGACAGCTCTGGAGGAGAAAATGAGGCTGGTGACTTGGCACAGCCCTCCCTCACCATAACCTAATTCACTTGCAAGTCATGGCATCATCTTCCTGATGTCATGGTCCTCTTTGAGAACGAAGGACAAACCACAGCCACAACCACAGCCAACCACACAACCTCACCACCTGAACCAAAAGATCACCCAACTACTGACTCTAAAAATTAGTTTTTTACCAAAAATTGAGGGAAAGGCAATGAGTATATGAGGACAAGGATAAGATCGGCACAATTTATCAGAGAATTTAATAGCATGTTTAAGGAAAATAGGAATGATGATTGACAGGTGTAGGAAGCAGCAGAAAAGCCAAATTAGAATATGAAAATGCTTCTATTTTAATGTTAGAAACCTAAAAAAATAAGCTGAATGAATTGGAATGCTGAGTGACATATGAGAACCTTGATATCAGAGGTATCTCAGAGTTGTGGCAAAAAGAAAATAGGTGAGAATTGGTTCTCTCCATATGCAACCTCTATAAGAAGGATAATTTAGGGTTAATACTAAATCATTGAATATGAGGGCAAGTATAAAAATAATGGTTCAGAAAAAAATCTTATTGGACAGGGGTATCACTGTAGAAAGCCAAGGCTAAAATAACCCCAAGAAAAAGAAGAGAGTGAAATTCAATAGATCTTTCAACTGGTGCAATGAGATTGAGAGAAAAATACTTTTCAAGTTTGGGGAAGCACAGCATTTTGCTGAGTACCAATAATAATGACTTTAAATGTTCATGGAGTTTCAGAGCATCTCATTATTATGAAATGCAGCAGTCAAGTTTTTGGATAAGATTGATGATTGTTTCTAGAACATGTGATTTTTAGGGTCCATAAAGAAATGTTATGGAATAAACTTTGTTCTAAGGAGTGGACAGAACAAGGTGCAGAAAGTATCTGTGGGAATGGTGAGTGATCACAACAGCGATGTGTTTGACTTAGGGCACATAGGTAAGGTGATAACAAATTAATTGTAGAATTTTTAGGAAAGCATGCTATGAGAAAAGTATAGGCAGTCTTTCTTGTATTCAGTCTATCCTTCATATAACTTCTGAGCCGATACTCTTAAAATCCACATCTATGTCATTCTCCAACTCAGGAATCTTCGGCTATTCTCTATTACCTATGGGATAAAATGCAAAATTCCTCACCTGGCATTTAACGCTGTTCACAGCCTTGCTTCTATATAACCATTCAGGTTTATTTTATATTACTCACCTTCACACACTCGCCATTTGAGAACTACTGCGTGTTTCTCTAATACATTCTGTTTTTAGCTTCCTTGCCTTTCAAAGATGGCTGCACATATCTGGACTCTAATCCCTCTTAACCTTTGCTTCTGGTAATCTCTAGCTTCCTTCAAAGTCTAGTTGCCTCCTGAGGAGTCCTTATCTATCTCCCCACCCTCTCAACCCCCACCCACTTTGGTAGTACTCCCTCCTTTGTGAAATTACTTTGTGTATGCTTTGAGTTTACCGTTCAGTATCTAAGTTATATCTTCCTTGTAGAATATAAACTCTTTGAGGGTAAGGACAATTTGACCGTTGTCTTGGTTTCCCCAGAGCTTGTGAGACAAGATGATACAGTGGGTAGAATGTTCATCTGCAGAGTCAGAAGGAATATGTTTCTCTTTTGACACGTGCTGGCTGGACAAATCTCTTAACTTTCTAGTGCCTTAAGTAGGTAAGACTAGAAATTGAAGAGCATTTGCCAATGTGCATTGTTAAAGGGGATTTTCTTGCAAGGAAATCACAGACTTGCACAAAAAAATATTCCTAATGCTTATTACAATACCTGACACATGGTTGGTGATTAAGAGCAGCTCCTATGTCTATTGAAAGGATTGCTAAAAAAAACTAAACCAAAAAACACAAACCTGAATAGCCCAACCTAATCTTTAAGCACCTTAAAGTTGCTTTGACTTTTTTTTCCTCTGCATATTTTGAAACACTGAATGTAATAGGACCATTTGGAAATCAATACATTTTAGACAATTTAGTAATTGGGTAATGGCTCTTTTTCTTATAAATTTGAATCATGCTGTTCATTATAGAGAAGTGATAGATTTGGGTGCAGAATGAGGCATATGTATATTTTTGTTGAAATTTGTTTGGTTAAACTATGTATATTTGTTAACTTTCCCCCCTTTTTTTTCAATGGGGTTGGGGATGGGAGGGAAAGAAAATAGACTTCTGTTAATCTTCTTTTAAAAAAAAGGGAGAGAAGTGAGGGAGTATTACCACTGTGGAATGTTGCATGTACTTTCAGAAGAGGTCATTGTACTGAGTTTTATTTAACTGTTTTATTTTGTAATAAGAGAACTCTCATGAAGTAAGAATGATCTAAATGTTTGTAATAGAAAAACAAAAACATCAATAAGACTTTTAAAAAATAAAATAAAATTATACATGTTTCCTAAAAATTTATCTGCAAATCAAAGCCTGAAAATGATTGATTCCAAACATTTTATTAGTAAGTTAGAAAAGTGCTCGCTTGGGCAGCACATGTACAAAAATTGGAACAATATAGAGATGATTAGCATGGTCCCTGAGCAAGGATGACACTCAAATCCATGAAACGTTTCATATTTTTTTCCATTTATGATGAAATATGTGACCTCCTTTGCCTAAGTCTGACTGTATAGAATGGTTTTACATACACATATATGTATACATATATACATACATACATGTATACATACACATGTATACATACGCACACACACATATAGATACCTACACACACATACATACACCCATATTTGAATTTAATGGTAACCATCTCTAGGGCAGGGAAGGGAGGAAGAAAGAGAAAAAGTTACATGATAACTTTATTATGTATTTAAAAGGAATAGCAAGGTATACATAATAGATTTGCAGTTTCATGTGCAATTGTCTTTTTTATTCTACCATGTTATGGGAATGCTTGTTTTATTTCTTAAGTTCAGAATAAAAAATAAAATAAAAAATAAAGGTTTACTATTGAGGCTGGGGAAAGCCATGAATTGTGGGAAGACAAGGTGAAAATTACATGAATCTATAAAGGAGCACCTTGCATGGGAATATAGAGCTGATAATTAAAAAATTTTTAAATATATCAGAAGCAGGAAGGTATCTTGAGAATCTGCTTGACCATTTAATGACCATAATAAAACAGGAATGTTCTGAGATGGAAAGGAGATTGTCAAGAAACTAGAACATCTCTGAGATTTTCACTGAGAAACATGTAGGAATTTTCCAATCTCAATTTATCTTTTGAAACAGACAGGTCAGATATGGGGTTAGAACAAACAGTAGTAATTGTGCAGGGTGTTCTAAGACATCAGCCCATTACTAGTGGTGACAGACCTAGAGTAAACTCAGGAAATATGTGACCTGTTGTCAAAAATCAAAGGAGATGCCATATGTAAAGTGCTTGCAAACTTTCAAGCACTATATAAAGGCATTGATGAGGATGATGATGAGGATGAATGTGCCCTCTTTACCTGAGGACTGTGAATTGCTAACTCCCATACTGAGAAATCAGGGGTTCAGAGAGAATAACAGTCCAGAGACTCCTTTTGGAACTTGGCAAGCTAATGAATGCGAGCTCTTTGATGTGGGGGTTTGTTTTACTTTTCTCTTTGTATCCTCAGGGCTAAGAATAGTGCCTTGAAAATTGTAAGCTCTTAATAAATGTTTGTTGATTGATTAGGGGCTCTTACTAAGTTAATCTATTATCATGAAACAGGATTGGCCAGTAAGAATACTCCATTGCTACCCAATGGAGTATTTAAAAAAAAAAAAAAGACCCAGATGGATGAAGACCTCCAGTTTGCTGCATAGATCCCCTATGGGGAAACTGTAGAGGGAAAAATAACATTAAAAAGAATTACAGAGCATGAGAAAGCATGTGTGTGTGTGTGTGTGTGTGTGTTGCTCTGTACTCTTTATTTTCAGCAACAACAATAATAAGTAGCTAGCATTTATATAGTTCTTTAAGGGTTACATGGTGCTTTACAAATATTTTCATTTTATCCTCACAACAACTCTGGGAAAGAGGCGCTATTATTATCATCCCCGTTTCATAGGTGGGGTAACTGAGGCAAACACGTTAAGTGGCTTGCTCAGGGTCACACAGCTAGTAAGTATCTGGGGTCACATTTGAACTCAGGTCTTCCTGACTTCAAGTTCAATGTTCTACCACTGGGTTGCCTAGCTGCCTCATGTACAGTCAATATAATATACACATCAATGAGATCATATATTCATTGAAATATTGAAGTAGTGCTAACTGTATGAATGAAAGAACATATGCATAAAGACTCCCGATTCACTGGGGTCTGCGTTCTCTGATTTACCACCTGGGAAATAAATCAAGGTGCCAGAGTTTTTTGTGTGGGCTATTTATCTGGGGCCCTGGAGGCAACAGAGAACTGGTTTAGATTTCCCCTTTGACAAGTTTAAATGACAACAATGACACAATTTAAATAACAAGTTACAATAGGATTGGAGAGATACTTCATCGTGAATAGGAAGCTGACTCAGAAAAATAAAAACCATAGGTAGGGAATAAACAAGCATCTATGTTTGTTATAGGGGACAAAGTACTGGAATTGGAATCAGAGAATTATAGGTTTAGAGACAGAAGGGGCCTTAGAGGCCACTGAATCTGATTCTCCTATTTTAAAGGAAGGGACACTGAAGCACAGGGATGCCCAGGGTCATAAAGTTGAAGTGTCTGAGGTGGGATTTCAACACAGATCTAAATCCAAGCCCAGGAGTCTAGTCATTATGTCCTCTTCCAGGAAGACTTGGGTTCAAATCCTACATTTGATACTAGTTGTATGAACCTGGGCAAGTCACTTCCCCTAAATCTCAGTTTCTTCAGTAAAATTGTTGTCGTTCATTTGTTTTTCAGTGATGTTTGACTCTTTCTGACCCCATTTGGGGTTTTCTTGGCCAAGATACTGGAATGGTTTACCATTTCCCTCCCCAGCTCATTTTACAGATGAGGAAACTGAGGCAAACAGGGTTAAGTGACTTGCCCCAGGGTCACACAACTAGTATCTAAGGCTGGATTTGATCTCAAGTTTTCCTGACTCCAGGTCTGGCACTTCTATTCATTGCACCATCATAACTGTAGCATTTATTTCACAGAGTTATCGTAAGAAGAAAATGAGATAATATATATAAGCAGTTTATAAATCTTAAAATGCCATATGAATGTTAGTTGTCTTTATTACTGGAAATATTAAGAGTAGGAACCCTTACCCAACTCACTAATATTTAATGTTTTTACACATGATCTAGAGGTGTGCAGTGAAATCTCCAAGTTTTCATATGACACTAAGTTCCCTAGGGTGCTGAAATGCTAACCCAAGCGTGATAAAACTGCGAGAAAGTCTGATGACGTTCTGTGAAAGGGCAGGACAATTGTAAATGAGTTTCAGTGCGAGCTGAAGGCAAGTAATGCATTAAGTGAAAATTAATCTGAATTCTATTTATCATATGATAGAGCGGCCCACCAATTAAACGACCAGTTAAATCTCAGTAAAGGTATATGGTAATCATTGCTCATCATTTCCTGAAGATGTGGATTCAACATATGACTGTTCACCAAATAGACCAATAGAATTCTGAATACTGCCAGGAAGGGTACTGCAAACACAACACAAAATATGTGAAATGGTTACAAAATCATTGTTGGATTATGCCTGTAAAATTGTGTATAGCACTGTGGTCTCCGTCCACCTTGAGAAAGCTATAGCAGAGCTCAAGGAGGTCAACAGAAGGGCAAATGAAGTAATTAAGTCAATTAAAAAGCTTCCACATGAGAACGCACTTTTAAAAATTAGATTTCTTTAATATGGAAAATCAAAGGCTCAGGAGAATTGACTCCAAGTATGTAAAATTGTAAAGGGTGTGAATATGCCAAATTATTATTTGTGTGACACTGGACAAGACACTTATCTATTTTGCCTCAGTTTCCCCACCTGCAAAGCACTAGCTACTTATTATTATTTTTTGTGGCAAGTGAAGAATGTAGAGCACAGCATACACACACACACACACACACACACACACACACACACACACACACACTTTCCCATAAATCAAAAATACTAGGACTGAGAAAATGTTTCCTGCATGCTGAGAGAGTAAATTATAAAATAAATAAAATTGAACACCATTTTTTCAATGGGTGATAGTAAACTTCTTACTCTAAAAATTAATTATGACTAAAACTAAATATGACTTTTAAAAGATGCATAATGCTTAGATGCTAAATTCAAAACAGGGAAAATTAGAGATATTTGAGGGTCATCCTCAAATTTCTCAAGTTGTATGGGGAAGGGAGAATACCATGTCCTCTCATTAAATGTTCTTTGGTGCCATTGAAAAAAATGTAATATTTTACACTACCTCATTGCTCTATTTACAACACAGTGTTGTGGAATGAACACCACATTTGGAGTCAGAGGACCTGGGCTTAATTCCTCTCTTCAATATCTGTGTGATCTTGGGCAAGTCAATCTGTCTCTCCAGACCTCAGTTTCCCTAGTAAAATAAAAAGATTGGACCAGATAATGTCTAAGTTTTCTTCCAGCTCTATATCTAAGCATGTATAATTTTATACATTCATTCAACAAATAATAACTGAAACCTACTGTATTTAAGACAATTTGCAATGTCCAAGACAGACCAATGAGTTGACTGGACCATTAGTCTGATATAGTATACATTTCTAATTTATTAAGTACCTGGTATATGTGAAGTATTCTGCTAAGTACTGTGGTTGCGAAGACGAAAACCAAGATCTGCAAGACAGATCTTGCCCAAAGGGAGCTCATATTCTGCTGGGGAGAAAACAGCAAGCACACAGACAATCAGTGTAGTACCATGGAAAGAATGCTGGCTTTGGAGGTAAATGAACTCAGAATCCTGACTGTCACTTTCTATTCCCTATGTGACTTTTGACAAGTAACAGCCTTTACTAGCCTCCTTTATCAGTAAAGTTATTGACTTGGACTAGATGACCTTTGGCAGCTAGGTGGCACAGTGGATGGAGCGCCAGGCCGGAAGTCAGGAGGATTCATCTTTCTGAGTTCAAACCCGGCCTCAGTCACTTACTAGTTGTGTGATCTTGGGCAAGTCACTTAACCCTGTTTGCCTCTGTTACTCATCTGTAAAATGAGCTGAAGAAGGAAATGTCAAACCACTCCAGTACTTTTGCCAAGAAAGCCCCAAATGGGGTCATGAAGAATCAAATACGACAAATGAATGAACAACAAAGATGACCTTTAAGACTATTTCCCATCTCTAGACCTATGACCCTATGAAATATTTATATAATATAATTTATGGAAGAGAAGGAAAAGGAAGAATGCTAATATGTGTACGTGTGTTTGTGTGCATATACATGCATCTGTGAGTGTGTTTGTTAGGAGGTAGGGAGGGGCACTAGAAGGATTGCTATAGGAGCTAGTACCTAAATGGGGTCTTGAAGCTCTAAGAGACAGAGATAAGTAGAGATAAGATTCAAGGCATGGGAAACAGCCTGTGTAATGGTATGAAGACCAATGCCTGAGGAAGGGCTAGTAGGGTAGTTTA